TAAATATAAGAGAGGGAGAGAGAGAGAGAGGGAGAGAGAGAGAGAGAGGGAGAGAGAGAGAGGGAGAGAGAGAGAGAAATAGGGTTTATCCACCTGACACAAACTAGGTCATTTTGGTACTAACATATGGTTCAATTTTATTTCAATAATTCGCTTGCGCTCAGGGATCTTTAGCAGTGGGAGGAAACCGGAGGACCAGGAGAAAACCCACGAGGTTGGACAGGCGACCCTACTCCTTGTCACGTACAACTAGGGAATGGAAACCACAACAGTTGACTCAATGACAGACCTTATGATACAAAGTCTTTTATTCGGAGTGTAGGGGGACATGGGGTGGGCGTTCCTTTATTTTGCTGCCGTTAAATTGCCGATGTACAAACGAGTTTGTGTCTAAAATATGAGACAAATATGTCGAGCCATTGTTTTAATTAACAGGCGCTGCTTTAAATTACAACTCAGAATTCATCGTAATTGCATGTCGAGATCTACAAAATTTTATGGGGGTCACGGTGGTTAAGCGGGTAAGACGCTGACTCGCTAGCCTGGGGGTCGCGTGTTCGATTCCTGCATTGACCGAGAAAGTTTATGTCAGTGATGCAGGACGGAGAGAATGACAAGGACAGCTGCCTAGTCGTTCGGATGATACGAAAAACCGAGGTCCCGTTTACACATTGGCGTGCACGTGAAAGATCCCTTGACAGTTGGAAATCGATACAAGAGTAGTGCCGCTGTCCGGGTAAAATTTCCTCATAGCACACTGTATGGCGTATGTCCCTCTTCATTAGTTCAGTTCGGGGCAGAAGAGTAGGACGTTAAACCCCATTTCATTTTACAAATTTTTATTCGGCATTAGGACTTATTCGTAAGCTTGTGTCCTCGGGTTGTGTCCTCTATCACCTATGGTTGTTTGTTCCACGAACATGATATTCACCTGATTTCAGGTGCACTTAAGAACTGTTGAAAATGCGCCACGTTTGAAATCCTGCCCGGGCTAAGAGCTCAGTCCAACTAACTACGTCACTGTATGGTAATAGAGTAGAGACGGGTGATAATTAACCTAGTACTCCTACCTCGGTTTATCGTCCCATCCGAATGCCTAGAGACTGTTCCATACCGGGTATTAAGGAGAAACCAAGTTGGAAAATCCCGAAGAAAGTTCTCCACAAACACCGGGATCGATAAGACGAAATAAAATGAAATGAAATGGGTTTAACGTCGTACTGTTCTGCCCCTAAACTAGGCTAATGAAGACTGGCATACGCCATACAGTGTGCTATGAGGGAAATTATGCCCGGGCAGCGGCGCTACGGCCTACTCTTATATCGAATTCCAACTGCCAAGGAATCTTTTACGTGCACGCCAATATGTGCACGGGACCTCGGTTTTTCGTCCCATCCAAACGACTCGACAGCTGTCCTTGTCAGGCCCTCCGTCCTGCATCACTGACACGGGGAAACCACGCGGGAAAATCTGGATGAACTTTCTTTGCCAATGCAGGGATCGAACACCCGACCTCCAGGCTAGCGAGCCAGCGTCCTATCCACTTAGCCACGTGATCCCCTGGATCGATAAGACACCGAACCACAGTGCCTTCCCCGACTTTAGTTTTAGCGCGTTAAGAGATATTTAACCCCCATCACGTGACCTACTAGAGTCTCGACGGACAATGAAATAGAGTCAAGGTAGAGTGGAGTGTTATTTTAATATTTTATTTTATAGTTTAGAACATGATCAGAACTTCACGGTGGTACCAGGCACCGAAATTAACCACTTATTAAACAATATGATACTGTATATATATATATAACACTTAATATACTTAATTACTCTCAATAAAATCTTATCTTAGTAATAGACCCATATAGACCTTTGTATTATACTAGGTTTACGATAACAACAACATCAGGGCTACGCACACCACTCGTATTATACTATACTTACGATAACAACATCAGGGCTACACACACACAACATGTATTATACTAGGTTTACGGATAATAACATCAGGGCTACACACACAACATCAGGGCTACAAACACACAACGCGTATTATACTAGACTTACCATAACAACATCAGGGCTACACACACAACGCATATCTAATAAGGGGGTGGATGGCAGAATGGTTAGCACGTGCGTGCTTTATCATAAGGCCTGTCATTGAGTTAACTGGCGTGGTTTCGAATCTCCGGTTGTACGTGATAGGGAGTAGGTTCGCCTGTCCAACCTCGTGGGTTTTCTCCGGGTCCTCCGATTTCCTCCCACTGCTAAAGAACCCTACGCACAAGCGAATTATTAAAATAAAAAATGAAACCATTCCCGAAATGACCTAGTTTGTGTCAAGTGGACGTTACCAGCCCCCCCCCCCTCTCTTTCTCTCGCTCTCATATCTAATATTTAAGACTAAATGAAAATTTTAAAATTGACACACGAATCGTGTGCCAGAATGCTTTCGAACGCCATTTGTAATGAAGAGATTCGATCAACGAGGCTAACATATCCCACGTGCGAATACTACCGGTGTATATTGGAATAACCAAACGCCAAAGACTGCTATTTAATTTGGACTCTTCGGGTATTTCGCTGAACATTATACTAGGCTTATGATAACATAAGGGTTAGACACACAACTCATGAAATGAAATGGGGTTCAACGTCCTACTGTTCTGCTCATAAACTGGGGTAATGAAGACGGGCAGCGGCACTATCGCCTACTCTTATATCGAATTCCAACTACCAAGGGATCTTTTACGTGCATTCCAATGTATACACGGGACCTCCGTTTTTCCTCTCATCCGAAGGACTAGATAGCTGTCATTGTCAGGCCCTCCGTCCTGCATCACTGACAAGGGGGAACCACGTCGGAAAATCTGAATGAACTTTCTCGGCCAATGCAGGGATTGAACACCCGACCTACCTCCAGGCTAGCGAGCAAGCGTCTTGCCCACTTAGCCACGTGATCCCCTGACTGGGCTAATGAAGACCGGCATATACCATACTGTATGCTATGGGCGAAATTTTGTCAAGACAGCGGCGCTACGACCTACTCTTATTTATATCGAATTCCCGCTGTCAAGGGTTCTTTTACGTGCACACCACACATGATGTGTTAGTCCCAACATGACCGAAGTATTGCGCTCAGAAGACGATAAAACCCACTCCTGTCATACATCAAGCGACAGTTGTCATGACGATGTGAAAATGGCTGACATCCTAGCAACAGACAACACTGCAGCTTTTCGCGTCATCAGAATATTTGTGGTATTTGTGTGATTTCGGTGACTGTGTTTGAATATTTACGTCTTGAGATGTGTTAATGGCGGTAGAAATCGTCTTGCACGCGTCGTCTGTTTAGCCTCCGCTATTTCTAGGATGACGTCTAAAGCCGAACAAACATAAAATCGTGCGTTCGTCCTTTTTTAAAATTTGTATTTTGACTACTGGACAACATGGCTAACGCTTTAAGATTTCGCGGGCCGTGTTTAATAAGACGTTCTAAATTAGGGTTGGCCGACCTTTCACATACCGTACTTCAATTTGTTCAGACACGAATTCAAATGCGCCATACAACTCTTGCAACCCCGTCTAATTCTTGTATTGTAAAAATAAATGTACTATAATACGGATTTGCGTCATAGACGAGAATGGCGTTTTTGTGTTACAATGACGTCATTTTGTTATGCTAGTTGATTAACAATAAAAAAAAACATAACATAAGGTTCTTCTCCTGATCTATGGTTGGATTCGAACTCTAGACACCTTAGCGATACTCTAATGCCCTATCCATTCCACTATCACATTAGAAGTGACATGTTTTGTCCAGAAAGTTACCGAGAGAGAGAGAGAGAGAGAGAGAGAGAGAGAATTTGGAGGAAACCGGAGGATCAAGAGGATACTCACGAGGCTGGACAGACCTTATAATATAAAGCGCACGCGTTAGACCATTCGACCTCCTCTCCCCCCTACCTCAGAAATATACCGTTAGTCAATAGATATGACTGGTCTAGTCAAGAATATTTGATTGTCTACTGAACGTGACCCAGTGTTCTCTCTAACGGTTCAGTCACCTTGTTAGTAAAACAACTAGAAATTCCTTGTAAATATATTCTTGGGGTCTTAGTTTTAAAAATATTTCTTTTAATAGACAACAAGCCACGACTAACTAGCATGTTTATAATATCGAGAAGGCGACGTTGACAAGTTAGGCTTTTTGGAGCAAGGATGTGTATACATCGTGCAGAAACTTCTCTTTATTTAAAGACTGCAGAAACAAGTCAAATACTCATTGAATAACTTGAAGATTAGTAAAAATGGTGGTTTTCGGTTTCTGTGTCCTCGCTAACGCAGATGTTTTAAGCAATTAAAATTCGAAAATTGTGATCCTTCGATCCGAAGTCTGGTGTTAATTCTTGCAAGGGATAGCTTCTCTCCGAAGTCTGGTGTTACTTCTGCCAAGGGATAGCTTCTCCCTGAAAGCTGGTGTTACTTCTCCAAGGGATAGCTTCTCTCTGAAAGCTGGTGTTACTTCTTCCAAGGAATAGCTTCTCTCTGAAGTCTCCTTTCAGAATGATACAGTAATTTGGATTAGGACGCTGTGGTGTCTGGATGTCGAGCTGTAAAAGGTAAGAGACAAAATAACCCACATTGTATAAAATTGTACTATCGATATCTGAAATTTGGTGTGGTTTCCTCTTGTCATTGGTGTATAACTGACGGCCCATTCATTCGGATGGGACGAAAAACTGAGATCCGGCGTACACGTGGCGCAATTGCTCTCATAGCATTCTACATGACGTATGCCCATCTTAATTAGCTCAGGTAGTGTAGAACAGTAGGACTTTAAACCCCATTTCATGACAGGTGGTACCAGGTGTTCTATAAAGGGTACGCTCGATACCACTATGAATTATGGGTTAAATCCATCGGGATGACTAACCATCAAGGTGGGAATTGGGGTAAATGTCCCGTCAATAAAATACTTTGGTCATGTTTTGTTTCCATGGTCATGTATGCAATGCTCGCAAGGACAATTCTGCGCAACAGTTGCTCATCATCAATATAAGTGGGTCTTTTACGTACATGCTGTGTACTCGCGTGCACCGAAATTTTGATCCAAAAAGAACCATACTTGTCTTATGATGGCCCAGATAACCGAGAATCGAGCGTAAAAACGTTCTTCTGGGTCCACGCAGGGGGTCGAACCCGGGACACTCTAGTCTACCCAACCTACTGTGGTAGTCTAGAATCCAGTGACCCCACACGTACCCAACCTACTGTGGTAGTCCAAACAAAGTGTCTCATGGATAAAAACACCCAACAAATTAAATTAAGGTATTTTTAAGAATGCATCCTAAGAGTTTTAAAGTGGGTGTTTTATGAAATGAACAGACTGTATTGTTGAAATATAATTTAGTTTAAATGAGATACATCCAGTTGATCTGATGTGCGATGGGTCAAATTATATTTAACAGTGAAATGGAGTTTAACGTCCTATCTGCCGAGGGGGTTGGATGGCTGAATGGTTAGCGTGCGCGCGCTGTATCATAAAGTCTGTCATTGAGTCGACTGGCGTGGTTTCGAATCCCCGGTTGTACGTGACAAGGAGTAGGGCCGCCTGTCCAACCTCGTGGGTTTTCTCCGGGTCCTCCGGTTTCCTCCCACTGCTAAAGACCCCTACGCGCAAGCGAATTATTGAAATAAAATTAAAACCATATGTTAGTCCCGAAATGACCTAGTTTGTGTCGAGTGGGCGTTAAACCCCATTTCTCTCTCTCTCCCTATCTGCCGATTGATAGGCATTACGACGCGTCCTACCTGTCTATACCGATTGATCGGAACTACGGCCTACTCTTTATTTCGAATTCCAACTGTAAAAGGTTCTTTTACGAGCACGCCATTGCGTAGACGTATCCACAATTTTTCGTACCATCCGAACGACACTGTTCCTTGTCAGCCCCCCCTCTCCATCACTGACAAGGGGAAACCATGCCGGTAAATCCGAGAAACACCAGGATCGAACTCGAGAACTGCAGGCTAGAGAGCCAGGGTCTTAATCACCGGTTCGGAGCAGAACATTTCATTTCATTCTTACTCACCGAGTGATCGCGGCTCCCATTTAACAGTGAAATACAGCATTTATATCACACCATTGGCTCTAACGGCAGAGCTGACATTTTGAATTTGTCCAATTAGAAGATCTGTTCCTGACAATTTTGCTTTGTGTAGAAGTCATAATAATATATTACATTAATAGAGTCTTTATTGTCACGAGAATCCTTCAGTATATACCATTCATATAACCCAACAGTATATACACAATCCATATGGGATCCAAAAATATATACGATAGGACCCAACAGTATATACGAGACCTGCGACTAAACAAGAGCCGTGGGACCCAACAGTATATACGAACCCTTGGACCCAACACGGGCCATGGGACCAAACAGTATATACGAACGCTGCGACCCAACACGATGCTTGCGACGAACCACGAGTCCTGAGCCCTGCGACCAACCCGTTCCCTGCGACCCAACACGATCCCTGCGACCCAACACGATCTCTGCGACCCAACACGATCTCTGCGACCCAACACGATCCCTGGGACGAACCACGAGCCCTGGGAAACAACAGTATAGAAGAGTCCAGACTTCCTTTCATGTTAAAAATGGATGTATTTTACCTGGGTTACAATGATAAAGGTAAAACGATGATAAAGGTAAAATTGAAATCAGTTTTGTTATCAAATAGTGTAAGACTATTTATCGTGTTTTGAGAACGTGCGATAATCGACGTATTCAAGTTGGGGAGTACAACTGGGGGAGTACAAGATATGAAATGAAATGGGGTTTAACGTCCTACTGCTCGACTCCGACTTGGATAATGAAGACGGACATATGCCATACAATATGCTAGGAGGGAAACTTTGCACGGACAGCGGCAGCTGCGGTGTAGTGAGTCTTATATCGAATTCCATCTGTCAGGGGATCTTTTACGTCACGTCAATGTGTAAACGGACCTCGGTTTTTCGTCCCATCCTAACGACTATGCAGCTGACCGTGTCACGCCCCCCGCCTGCATCCCAGACAAGGCAAAACCACGACGGAAAATCCCGATGAATTTTCTCATCCAACACCGGGATCGAACTCAGAACCTCACTTAGTCACCGAGTCACCGTGGATCCCGATAGTCCTGCAAGCCCTCCCTCTGAAACATGGAACATTTACATACGGTTCCTGAAATGATGGTCATGAAACTGGTTTTAGTTTATTTAAAGGATATAATATTCCTATCATTGTCAAAGCCCAGCTTAACCGGAGCGGGGCCTTGTGCCTGACTAGAATCGCGGGGCTCCTAACGCGACGATAAGATTATTTCATTTCCTTTTGAATGGCACGCATGCGTAACAAACAATTAAACGGTCTGTAATACAAGAATAATTACATAAAATCTGATCACATACGAAATCATAGAGTTCTGATGGCATACAAGTCTAGAAGCCTAGACCGATCACCAAATGGAACTTCACAGAGAAGGTTGAGGAATAGCCCAGTCTCCGCCCTCGCGCCGCTAGAAGCCTAGACCGACCACCGAGTAGAACCTCACAGAGAAGGTTGAAGGATAGCTCAGTATCCGCCCTCACGCCGCTAGATCGATTACCGTGACACTTTCATCTGCAATTTGATTTTTGTCTCTTTTTGCCATGAACCGCGGGGCCTGGGCCCCTCAGGTGCATGCCTAAGCTGGTTTTGATCGTTGTGTTAGTATATTAAACCCAAATATTTAGTTGCTGTATAACAAAATAAAAGCAATTCGTTCTTATCCTACGCCAGCGACGTTGGGAAAAGAACATAACAAAGAGTGTGAGAGAGAGAGAGAGAGAGAGAGAGAGAGAGACATTATTTCGAGAATAACATATGGTTCAAATTTTTTTCAATTCGGTTGCGCATGAGGGTCTTTTGCATGAGAAAACCCACGAGGTTGGACATGCGATCCCAACTTCTTGTCACTTACAACCGTGGAATCGAAATAACGCCAGTTGACCCAATGACACACCTTATGATGCAACCCACACGCGTTAACCATTCGGCCACCAAACCCCACTATTGGAAAGAAAACACAATAAAGGCATTCAAATAGTTAATTAAATCAGATATGTTTTTTTTTTTTTTTTAAATCTGATTTAGAAACATCTCATGATGAACCTAAAAAAAGTATATGTTTGTCTGTTTTCAAGAAAGATAGCTAGGCAATATTAACATTTTCTCTTTTTTTTACTTATGTTAATTTTATTTCGTGTTTTCATGTGAGGTGACAATGAATGTCAAATCCGAGTAGAAAGCTTTTTTGACATATATGAAATATAAAAAATACCCTAGCAGACACCAACATCATTTATTCAACACAACGAATCTCTGTGTCTGTACCTGTTATCAACCGCTTCTGTTTATTTATTTAAATTAAATATGTTTTTATTTTTAATTGTATGTAAATAAGCGTTCTGTACCTCACGAGTCCATCGTTCGTGAATATATCGTAAAGAAATCCACACTTAGTATGTCAAGAAGTTTAGAAGGGTTATTCAGGGTCAATGGCCCGACTCTTCATACAATGGCTGTTGTATTGTGACGATATGAAATACAGTTTTTATATGTCCTTCTTACTCGGTGGTTTACATGTATAGCTGTCAATCTTCTTTAGTCCCGTAAAAAAATAGTCCTGATATAACCTAGTTTGTGTCGTGTGGAAGTTACTCTCTCTCTCTCCCTCTCTCTCTCTCTCTCTCTCCCTCTCTATTACTACTACTATTAATACTGCTGTTACCATTATTGCGACTACTACAATTGCGATTACTACTACTACTACTGCTGCTACTACTACCTGTTACTACTACTACTACTACTATTACTGCTGCTACTACTACTGCTGCTACTACTACCTGTTACTGCTACTACCTACTACTACTACTACTACTGCTGCTACTACTACCTGTTACTACTACTACTACTACTACTACTACTACTACTACCTGTTACTGCTACTACCTACTACTACTACTACTACTACTACTACTACTACTACTGCTGCTACTGCTACTACCTACTACTACTACTACTTCTGCTACTACTACTACTACTACTGCTGCTACTACTACCTGTTACTGCTGCTACTACTACTACTACTACTACTACTACTACTATTAATACTGTTGTTACCATTATTGCGACTACTACTATTGCGATTACTACTACTACTAATACTGCTGCTACTGCTGCTACTACTACTACTACTGCTACTACTACTACTAAAATACACCTAATCCCGTAAACAATATTAGAGCCGCTCTGCGTCAGTGATTAAGTCGCTGGCCAGCTAACCAGGGGCTCTCGGGTTAGCTCCCGATATTGGGCAAGACTGTCCCTTACAGTCGTTAAACCACATCTCATTTTATTTCCTGTAAAAAAAAATAACATTCTGGATTATAAATAGTTCAATCTTTTTTGACAATTCTTTAATGAAATGAAAATGAAATGAAATGGGGTTTAACGTCCTACTGTTCTGCTCCTATGCTGGGCTAATGAAGACGGGCATGCGCCATACAGTGTGCTATGAGGCAAATTTT